GGCCTCGGAGCGACCGTTGATTGGCCAGCGGCCGGCGTCTGCAGGAGAAGGGCGGGGAGGCGCGTGCGCGCTGATGCGCGAGGCTCGGCGGGCGCTGCAGAGTGTCTGGCCGCGGCTGCGGTCGTTTTTATACCTTCCCGCGCGGACGCCGGCGCTGCCAACGGAAGGGCGGGAGGGGCGGCGCGTGATTAGGTTAGCGAAGGTGTGAGGGCGCAGAGGGTGGGGCGGTGGCCATTGGGGGCGGGGCCTGCGTGCCCCTCCCGCCCCACCCGCCTTGGCTGGCTGCTGGGGTCGTGCGGCCGTGGGATGGGGCCGTGGGGGCCCGCAGTTTCCTGGTGGAGCCGCTTGGAGTTGTCCTTTCCGCATCTCGCCCTGCGGCCCGGTCGACCCAGGCGATGAACGGCTGGGCGGCGGGTCTGGCCCTCGGAGGGGCGGAAGTCTCTCGGGTGCGGCCTTGGCGGTGTAGCCAGGCTACAGACACCGCAAACCCGCGGGGTTTGGTTTTGGTTTCGGTTCTTTCCCTGGAGATGGAGTGAGCAGAATTTTTGGTCTCCGTTTATAACCCAAGTTAGCGATTATCTTATTTTGCTAATCATATTCTTTAAAATTTAAAAATCTTGCTTGACATATTTTTGACAATTTGTCAATGAAAACCAATGCGCCCTTTCATGGCTCTTTGAAGATACCCTCAATGAGTGGCAAAACCAAACTCGTGAAAGTGTCCTGCGTCCCAAATGTGATTTCCCTGACCCCAAGGAACCGAGACCCCTCCCTTGGAGACCCCTCCCTTCTTTCAGTGGCTAAAACGATTTCTCGCAGGTAGTTCTTGACAGTGATTGCTACCTGGACGCGCTGTTTTCCGGTAGCTCCCCTGTAGCGCTGATTCTCTGGGCTTAGAGCAGCACCCCTACTTTGTTGATTTTTTAAAAATTTGTAGTCCCACTCTGTTGCCCACGCTGGAGTGCAGTGGCAGCTCATGGCCACTGCAGCCTCACCTGCTGGGCTCCGGCGATCCTTCGCTTCAGCCTTCCAAGTAGCTGAAACCACAGGTGTGCACCACCAAGTCTGGCTAATTTTTTGATTTATTGTAGAAACAAGGTCTCACCAAGTTGCCCAGGCTGGTCTCGAACCCCCCGGACTCAGGCAGTCCTCTTGCCTGGGCCTCCCAAAGTGCTGGGATTACAGGCTGAGCCAAGGTGCCCAGGCGATTATTATTTTATTTTGTAGAGCTAGGGTCTCTCTATATCACCCAGGCTGGTCTCAAACTCCTCGGCTCAAGCGATCCTCCCTTCTCAGCCTCCCAAAGCACTGGGATTACAGGCGTGAACCACTGAGCCTGGTGATTTTTTTTTTTTTTAAATGGAGACAGGGTCTAGCTATGTTTCCCAGTCTGGGTTTGAACTCCTGGGCTCAAGCGATCTGCCTTACCCTCTCCAGTAGCTAGGACTACAGGGGTACTTCTTCTTCGGTGTTTAAATGTTCTAGCTTTGTAGACTAAATTTAGCCAGGTAATCCTCTTCCCCCAGCCGTAGGCTCTGCTGCCATGAAGGTGAAGATTAAGTGCTGGAACGGTGTGGCCACTTGGCTCTGGGTGGCCAATGATGAGAACTGTGGCATCTGCAGGATGGCGTTTAATGGCTGCTGTCCGGACTGTAAGTGTCTCTCCCTGTGCTCTCTGAGCCTGTCTGCTGGTCCAGGTTTGGTGGCTCCTGGTAAAATATCAGAACAAAATCTCTGTTTTAGTTTCCTTTTCCTGAAGATATGTTTTTAGAAAAAAGCTAGGTAGTTGGACCCATGTTTGTGTAAAGATTCTGTCGAGTTTGATAGGATCAAACTTAGCTATGAAACATATGGGATTAAAAAGATTTGTTTAAAACTTCCTATTTGAAAATTCTCAAAATTAAATGATGTAAGGACATCCTCTGCCCAGCACACTGAAGAACAGTGAATAACTTGTTTCTGTATTTGCTTTGTTTTTGTGCCTGAATACTTTTAAATAAATTGTAAACATGCAGTCTCACCCCACACTTCAGCCCTAGGTTTTTTAATCCAGCACTGTTGTAACATCTAAAATTTGACAGCCATTCCTGATACTAGTTTCACTGTCCCCAGATGTCTTTTCATGGTAGGGTGGTGTGAGCCAGGATTTAGCATTTCAGTATTGCTCCATCCCTCAGTTCTCTAATCTAGAACAGTCCCTCTATCCACTTTTACTTTTTTCAAGGCATTTGACTCCTTTAAAAACTTGGTGTGTTGTCTTGCAGTATGTCTTGCAGATTGTTTCTTTGTGGTATCGTTTGCGTGTTCCTATGTCCCAGGTACATCTGTGAAGTGGAAATATTGGATACACTTATGTTAAAAGCAGATTTTTACACCAGTGAATTTGGTTTTTAGTGAGATTCAAATGAACATGAAGCACAAGTAAGGCTCAGGGCTTTGCCTAGAGGGAGGACAAGAGCGACTCCCTAGAGGACAGTGGGTCATGAGGAGGACTGAGAATCTCCTCCTCACTGCCCCAAGTAACAAGGCCTGTTTTTGCAGAGTCAAGTGAATATCCAGGATGATAACAGGACTTTGCCCCTTCTTTATTTTGTTTGTTTGTTTGTTTTTGGTTTTTTGAGTTGGAGTCTCACTCCGTTGCCCAGGCTGGAGTGCAGTGGCACGGTCATGGCCACCCCAGTGTCAACCTGCTGGGCCCTGACGATCCTTCTGCCTCAGCCTTCCAAGTAGCTGGAACTACAGGCGCATGCTACCATACCCGGCTAATTTTTGATTTATTGTAGAGACGAGGTCTCGCCAAGTTGCCCAGGATCGTCTCGCACCCATGGGCTCAGGCAATCCACTTGCCTCGGCCTTCCAAAGTACTGGGATTATAGGCCAAGCCACCAAACCCGTCTTCTCTTCTTTATTTTTATTTTTTATTTTTTTTTTTAAGTTGGAGTCTCACTCTGTCACCCAGTCTGGAGTGCAGTGGCCGCTTCTGGCCACCACAGCCTCAACCTGCTGGACTCCGGCTATCCTTCCGCCTCAGCCTTCCAAGTAGCTGGAAGGCACGCGCTACCATGCCTGGCTGATTTTTTATTTATTGTAGAGATGAGGTCTCACCAAGTTGC